TATAGTTTTCCAAGTTGCATTATTAGCCCTAAATTGGACCATACCACCAAGAGTTGGGTGACAGCCCTATTATGCCTCATAACCATTCGTTTATCAATCACAATAGCAGGATATACAAGCGGTTGCCCATTCTCATTAGTTTCTTATGGAGCTAGGTTGGGAACTACCTTGTTTCCTAATTTTTTTTTTAACAAGCTAACATGAAACACTGGATGAATCTTAGAAGTTGGAGATAACTAAAATTTATAAGCAATTGAACCAATCTTGGCTAATAGAGGACATATACCATAATATTTGGATAAAAGTTTTAAACTCTTTCAAAGCTCCAATGAGGTTTGTTTATTGAGCTAGAGTTTTTAAACACACTTAATCTCCCATTTGAAACTTTCTTTCACTTTTTTTCCTGTCAGCATACAATTTCATTCTCTGTTAAGATTTATTTAACTGATCAACAATCAACCTTTTGCCTTGTTCTCTATCTTTTAGTAATTCTTTAACATTCGCCACTTTTGCTTAATTACTTGCATCCATGTTAAGGCTAGTGGTTTATAACCATACAAAGCTTGAAATGGAGACATTCTCAAACAGTGTGATAGCTTGTATTATACCACAATTCGACTAACGATAGTCATTAAACCTAACTCTTAGGCTTGAAAAAACACATACACTGTAAATATTACTCAAAACACCTCTCGATTTGCCTGTAAGATTTTAGATGGTAAGCTATACTCAAAAGAACTATGGTTCCCAATAATTTCATCAACTTCTGCCAAAACATACTAGTGAAGACTGGATCCCTATCAGAAATAGCAATTCTTGGAGTCCCATGTAGTTTATAAACTTGGCTGAGATATATTTTAGCTACTTTTATAATTGTAAAAGGATGGGACAAAGGAAGATAATGATTATACTTAGTAAATTTATCCACTATCACCATAATACAACTAATTTTTTTAGATAAGGGCACCCCTTCAACAAAATTCATGTTGATTACATCTCAAGCTTATTGTGGTTTAAGGATTGGCTGGAGAAGACAAGAAACATGCTTGTATTTGTTCCTTTGACAAAAATCACACTGTTGGATATATTCACAAACTTGTTTCTTCATCCTAAGCCAATAAAAATTCAATTTAAGTTTGTGGTAGGTGGCTTGAATTCCTGAATGCCCTCTTGAGGTGAATCATGCAAGGCTTGCAAAATTTTCTCCCTTAACTACCCACTGTTACCTATACACACTTTTTCTTTAAATTTTAAAACTCCATTATTGAATGAATAGTGAAAATTATCAAGAGGATGGATGGTAGAAGCCTTAATTTGCTTATGTGCCACTATATCACCATTATAGTTATACTCGATCTCTTTTGCCCATTTTGGTATAAATGTAGTTGATTGCAAGCTATAGTTTTGTACTTTTTCCTCATGTTGTCTAGATAAGGCATCTGTTACTATATTCATCTTGCCCTTTCTATATTGTATAGAGTAATCCAACCCAAGTAATTTGGTTAGCCTTTTTTTTTAAATAATGGTGGTCAACTTCTATTCAAGCAAATGTTTTAAAGCTTTATGATCTATCTTAATAATGACTGGTTTTTCTTTCAAGTGGTGTCTCTATTTTGTTACTTTCATTAGCATGTCTAGATACTTCTTTTCATAAATAAAAAAAGTTTTATGTCTAGTACCTAGAGACTTACTTAAGTAAGCTATTGGCTTTCCATCTTGGGATAAAACAGCTCAAATTTTAATATTGCTAGCATCAGTTTCTAATATAAAAGGTTTATTGAAATCAGGCAATGCCAGGATAAGGTAGAACATATGGCCTCATTGAGTCGATTGAAAGCTGATACTGCTACAGATGTCCACTTGAATCCATTCTTTTTAAACATATCTAAAAGTGGCTTATTGATCTCTCCATTGCTTTTTATGAATTTTTTGTAATATCCAGTCAATCCAAGAAATCCCCTCAAAGACTTAAAGCTCTTAAGCTGTGGCTAGTTTGCATTGTTTCTACCTTAAAAGGATCTGTAAATACCCCTTTAGCTAATATGATATGCCCCAAATATTCAAGTTGTCTTTGACCAAAAAAATGTTTGCTTTTTTTTACATATAGTGTGTTCTTTCTTAATATTGGAAATACAATGTTTAAATGTTTTACATGTTCTCTCAAGTTAAAACTATAAACAAGAATATCATCAAAAAATACCAACATAAAATTTCTTAAATAAAGAGCAAATATATCATTCATGAGAGACTAAAAGGTTGTAGGTCCATTAGTAAGTCCTAATTGCATTCTTTAAATTTGTAATGTTCATGTCTAAAAGCTATCTTGTGAATATCATCTTCTTTCACCTTTATCTATCAATATCTTGATCTGAGGTCTATTTTTTAGAAGTAATGGACTCCGTTCAACAAGATCTTCCACTATAGGTATAAGGAATTTTTTTTCATTGTCATTGCATTTAATTGTTTGTAATTGATACACATCCTTTAGGTGCCATCTTTTTTCTTAACTAACAAACATGGAGAAATAAAGGGGCTTTTGTTGGTTTGAAAGAAAAAAAAAAAACATTTTTGCTATTTACCTTTTGATCTCATTCTTTTAATAATGGTTGAATCTATATGGTCTTAGATTAACAGGTTGAGAGCTTGGTTTCAAAGGTATGCTATGATTTTTCACTCTCTCTAGTGGTGATCTTGTAGGCTTCCTGAATATGTCTTCATAGAAAGCTATTATTGGCTCAAACACAACTAGTGTTTCCATATCATCACACTTCCCACTAATCATGAACATTTCCCCTAACATCTTAAGATCTTTGTAGGCTAGCTTCTACAATTTATCTCCAAAAATAAGCTTTAGGCTAGCTTTATTGGGACCACTTTTTAATGTAACTTCTTGTCTTTCTTTTTTGATACTCACTAACATATCATTGAAATCAAATACAAGAGGACTATATTTCCTTATCCAATCAACTTTAAGCACAATGTCACTACCTTTCAGTGCAAAAACTCTTAGATCATGAACAAATTTATGCCCTTATATTATCCATTCAAGCTATTTACATTTAGTGGTACTATACAACTTCACACCATTAGTCACAGTTATAGTTAAAGGATTAGTACATGTCAACTCCACCCCATCCTTAGCCAATCTGAGAGTCTCAAAACTATGAATACTCTCGTTATCTATAAGTATATTCAAAGGTTTACCCTTCATATTTCCTTTGATCCTTAGTATGTTATACCCAGTGCTACTTGTTAAAGCATTGATAGAGATTTTCAAATTACCATCCCTCGGTCTACTTCATTATTGATATCTTGACTATTGTCAATTGGTTGCTCATCATCCTTCTTTTCTTCTGAAAATTCATTCACCATGGTGGAGTTCAATTGCTTGTTCTTGCAAATGTGGCCAGGAAAGAAATTTTCACCACATTTAAGGCACAGGTTCTACAATTTTCTTTGCTTAAGGGGAGTTTGCTTCTTATGTAGTTGATGTTGTATTAAAGGTAACTTTTTATGGTTGGGAGCAAGGATTATAAGGGTTCTTAAAAGAAGTATAGGTGTTACTGGTTGAATTGAGTTTAGTAGGTGATCAGTTTTCTTTTGTATTCAACTTCTAAGGCTAGTTGGTGTAACTTAGCTTGCCTATAGGTTGCTACCAAAATCAAAGGCTTACTAGCCTTAACTCTTGGTTTGAGATTTCTTGAAGTCACTTATAAAATTGGATACAAAATATAACTCATCCAAATGAGGGTTATTCTGAAACATGAATGGCTTGAACTCTTCAAATTTCTCTTGATATTCTACCATTGTGGTCTTTTAAGTTAGCTTGTTGAATTTTTCAATCACATCTGAACAGGTCTTGTCACAAAATCTCTAGTAGAGATCATAAAAATTCCTACCATGTAAATCTTGGTTTCTGCATCAAGTATCCATCAAACCAGATTTCTACTCTACTAGTTAAATGCATAACAACTATCTCTATTTTTTAATGATCTAACATTCCAAAAATGGTAAAATACTTTTGACATTTTCTTACCCACTTTCGAATAATGGAAGTTTGATTTTTGGACGTAGGGTAAAAGCATTTAAGCCTAGGGTAGTTATTTATAGGTGAAGCCTCAATATGTTTCCTTGCCATCACGTTATTATGTATATTATTAAGGTTATTGTCCTATTGAAGTTTTGGTAGTAACCTTGGATCATCAAGGCTATAGCTAAACTTATTATATTTATCAATAACAGTTATCTCAATAGGATTCTTACCCTACCTTTTGGTTTTCACCAATGGAAATGCCAACATGCTCCTGGATCTGGCTAGGTTGGAGATTCCTTTTTTGCAATAATTCCAACATGTTGTCAAACTGTTGTGATTCTCAGACATCTTGATTACCGGCTTTTTCTTTTAGTCTTCCCACAATTTTGACATGGAGGTCTGTATTGCCTTTATGTCTTCCAACTGTGTTAAGATTTTTTGTACCTGTTATGTAAGCTATTCAACCGAGTGCTTTCAACCATGGAGAGTTGTTTCTGACTATTTTTCAACGTTGATATGAGATCGCAATGAGTTTTGATATCAATTTATCACGACTTAGTTATGACTTGGTTAATGTTTTAGAGACTAATAAGAGAATAGAAGAGAATTGAGAAGACTAAAAAGAGAACAAAGGATAATTGAGGAGAATAAGAAAAGAATAGAGAGGGATTGAGAGGAAAAAATATCTTTTCTATTCATGAAAATCAGTTACAGTCAATAAATTATTTAAATAGAGTTATTGTTGAACTATCATGCAAAATTGTGAAAAAAATACAAAGTTGCAGAGTATTCATAGCCAATAGATTAATAACTAATATCATCATCTTCTTTTTTGTATTCGCCTATTTTGTTGTAAACTTTCAACTTATCTCTCAATAACTTTTGCTCATTCTTTACCATAGTCTTACCCATGCTACTCTTACTATTTTCCATCAAGCTCGTCACAATTTGACATTTCAATAGTTTGAATGATTTTGATTGCCATTAAATTGGCTTTGACTGCATTTTCTTACTATGTCTTGAGGCTTGTTTTAAGACGTCAATGGCAATATTTGGGTGAACCATTAAGAAATATAAGCCCTAATCTCTACCTCCAACCTGACTCGAACCTGACCCGAGCTTGACCCACCCAACTTGGCGCGGTTATCAAAAGAAAACTCCAATGGCGGGAAAAAGGAAATAAAATGTAACACAATAATAAAGAGCAAAATCCCCAGGGGAAAAAAAAATAATACCTTCGATTAGCTATCCCTGTTCCGTTGTTTGGTCTAATGGACAAACACTTAGTTCCTTCTAAACCCTCAACTGAAAACCCTAAACCCAAACCAAGGTAACTTTTTCTTTCTCTCACTCTTCTATTTCTCTGAATTGAATATTTGATGAAATTCTATATATTCTTTTGAATCCAAAGGCGGCGTCCATGGCAAAGATGCGAGCTCGAATTGAAGGGAAAATTCGACCCCAAGTACCGACACAGCCTCACTGGCCTCCTCATGCGCTCTTATTCAGAGGTCTTTCAAATTTTCTTCTGCTTTCTTTTTAAATTTATTTTTTTATTGCTGGTTTTGTTCAATTACTGATCTTTGTTTTGTGATGGATTAGATTGGGGCATTTCCGCATTTCTATCACATTGATGGAAAGCCATGTCAAACCCATGTATGCATCAAAATATTTTGGGTCATTAGCAATTTCTTTTGAAATCTATTTTCTCAGCTTTCCTTGCTCTATTTAGTATGACTATGGTATCTGTTCCTAGATTAATCGGATTAACAATGCTGCGAATTGGGGTCATCAGCTTCCTTTCAGAATGTTTGTGGTTCTTATCTCTCTCTCTCTTTCTTCCTTTTCTAGGGAATATCTACGTACCATAATTATGATCTAAATTGACCTTTATAATTGGTATTGCATTTTAATAATTTGTCTGTTTTAAATTATATATGATATTGCTGTTTATCTTTTACTTTTGCTTTATAGCAATTCTTCAAAAAGTTAAAAGCATAAATATTATTATGACAGGGATGCCTCTAGTTCACAACCATAATTTTGTGTAGAATCACTTATGGTACATAAACCGTCTGCTAGAAGGAGCTAACGACTAATAAAGCTTTGTCTGGGAAAAATCAGAAATAATGATGCCTATGAATTGATTTCTTTTTCTCATGATGATGATAGAGTTCCTTTGTTATCTGTTGTTAGAAAAAGGAAATAATAGACCTGTATGATCCAAAAAAAATCATTTTTAGCCTGCACGAAGCTCAATGTGAAAGGCATGAGCTGGTGTTTGGACTTTCACATATTTCAAGCTGCATTGAGAACAGTTTGAAACGGCTGGAATTTTGAAAAAATGCCATTAAGTATATCTTTTAGATAGTTAGAATCTGATTCTTTGAGCAAATAAAACTTTAGATTTTTGCACTTATTACATAATCTTTCAAACCATGGAGTTAAAGTGGACTGACTTCTAAACTGCAGTTTTTTTCCTTGGACTGGAGCTGTTTGCTAGTTATTTCAATTTAATTCTCAATTTCTATAATAGTATTTATTTTGTTTCATAATGAAGAATCACAGATAATTTCATTTGGCCTTTCTTTCCTAGTTTTAGTTCCTTTACTAGTTACTTCAAGTCATGCTCTTGAGAATTTGTTTTAACATTGAATTGTGCATTTTCAAGTTTCTTTTAAACATGAAAAATTGTTGTTGGTGAAGCCTTTGATACTCTCTCTCAAATTTTACTTACTCAACTTCTTGTTGCATATCAAAAGATTGCTTACTATGATTCTTTTTCAGGAAAGGAATATCTGCAGTTGACTTTGACAACAAGGTGAAACCTCACACTACTAATCATAAAATTATAGCTTCTGAAAATCTTTTGATGATAAATTTACCATGCTAATTGTGTTTCTTGATGGTTCTTTTGTTTTGCACCTATTTCTTGAATAGCTAGTCTATTAAGAATGACATGTATATTGATTTGGATAGGTAAGAATGACATGTTTTGGACTTAAAATTGGACTCGAAGTAGGGTTGAGTATTTCCCCTAGCTATAGTATTTAAAGTTTGGTATAAAAACCGTTGAACATATTAGAACTTATCAAGCCATGTTTTGGAGCCAAACATTGATTTTATGATAAGCCAGCCATTTATTTGAACTTCCTGCAAATAATAATTGCATTCTAAGGCAACAATATGTGACCATTTTCTTTTGGATACTAGTTAATTGAGCTAAAGGTAGGGAGTAGCTCTTTCCCATACCATGAACCCCACCCTCTCCTCTCCAAAATTCAAACTTGAGACCTCCAATTTAAAAATTGAAATTATTGGGGTGCCCATTGGGGACAAAAACTGTTACCATATTATACATGTTTTCAAATAATGTCAACTTGGAAACTGCTGTCCAGGGCTTGGTGCGTGTAGAATAGATGTTTATTGCAGAATTGTTGTGTCCTAATGTTTATGTGATATCTGCAAGTGTATTAGAAACCATTCTATAAGTGTTTAGACTGATAAAGGCTTGCAAATTTTGGTCTGTGGCATATGGAGTTTGGTATTATTTTCACATGCAATGCATATGCACCCTGCTACTAAATGGGTCAAGTAATTTAAGTTTTATGTACTCTGCTACTGCAGTTTTTGTGACAAAAGGGAGTCGATTAGTATTTACAAGAGATACTTGCTATTTTTTAAGTTTCTTTCCTGATCTCCCTTTTCATTTCATTACATTTTTTACTGTTCTTTTTGTCCTTATTTCTCTTCTCTCTCCAACTTTCCCTAATTAGTTCCCAAATAATTGTCTCCAGGGAATATACTTAGTTTCTGTGACAAAATCAGGGTGCTTAACAGTGCACGACTTTGAGACTCTATATTGCCAGAGTAATGACTTGTTGCCACGTAAGTTGATCAACTAAAGGCTTGCTTTCCCCTTTTTTCCCATCGTCTCCTAACTTAAATAAATGTCTAATGTACATCATGTCCTAATTTCTGTATATTGGTTGAATTGAAAATTGAAATCATTAAGATGCTTTTCTGCCAATGTCCTGACATTTGTGGGTATACATGCATGTCATGTATGTAGAACATGTAAATAAAATTCCTGCATTTAAACGGTCATTTTGTGCATTAAAGGGAGAGACATTAGGCAAAGATTGTTCAAGCGGCATACCTCTTTAAATATGGTGGCTGTATTCATAGGTCATTGATGCTTATGATTCAACTATATATCCAAAAACATGGTTTGATGTGCACCTTTTTGCATCTTAGGAGTGTTAGGGTACAGTTATGAGAGACCAGAGCATAAGGTCCAAGATAGCTGCTCCATAATTCTCAGTAGTTGCTCATTTGGCAATTATGTGCCATAAAGGGATTTGGTTTAGGAGTCATTTTTACATGATGTAAATCTGCCACCTGAGCCCTCATCTTCTTGGATCTTCGGTTATACTGTTATTTTGGTGGCATTTGTTTTGCAATTGCATATCCTGAAATTGGTTTAGAATTCTGGGTGTCATTGTTTAAATCACCTAGTTGAGCCACCACCCTCTTGGATGACTTGTTTTTCAATGATTACTCATTTTGGTGGCCTTTCTGCATGGTTGCCTGTGCATTATCATGTTTAGGTCCTGCTCATATTATTGTTGGTGTAGTTAAATAACGTATTGCATCCTCAATGTAGTTTGCATAATATTCTCAACATCTATGTTGGTCATGCTTGTAGGTCTATGTTTTACCAGGATGATTATTCCGCTTTATCTTGATCTTAAATAATCTTGAATGAGGATGAGAGTAATTTGGTGACCAAAATGAAGAGTTGTTTATTGATAACTTCAAATTCTTCTTTATATCTTGAATTTCATGTAAAAGGTACATTGTTTCAGTTTTCTTCCTATTTGGACATATTTGAATAATATGAACATGTTCTACTTTCTTGTTTGTTTCTCTATTTTATTTTTATTTATGATATCCTATCTGGACATTTTTGAAGAGTATAAACATGTTTTACTCTTTTGTTTGTTTGTTTGTCTATTTTATTTTTATTTATGATTTCCTATCAGGATTCATAAATGTGTCAGCTATCATAAGTTCTCTGCCATCTGCCTTACTTGTCTGTTGCTTCTTTGGAATAGGCTTAAACGAAGATGAAAGTAAGCATTTAATGCACCTCTATTTGCAACGGCAACTTGATGTTGTTCGGTGGAATCTTGCCAACCAAGATGAGGTTTAGTTCACTTACATGTCCACAAACTTCTATGCATTTAGTTATTGTCGATGGTCAAAAGACATTCTACTTTATTGTAATTTGCACTTGCAATATGCAAAAGGAAATGCTCAGCATAATGTTCTTGTCCCCCATATTAATTTATTGATGATACATTGCGATATGGTAATTGGTCAATTTGATCAAAACCTACATGATATGTGAGTGGTAGGGTTATTGAAGTATATTTTAAAAAATAGATCGACATATGTTGTAGTCATAAACATTTTTAGATAATGAGATCATATGTCCAGAAATAATCTCAAGAGTCCAAACTTATGTCATTGGTCATAAGTGTGTATATAACTAACTATTGAAGTTTATGATACATTTACTGTTTTCTTATTTGGCATATTTCCCTTGATGACCTTATTTTCAACTAGCGTGCCAATAGTAATTTCTCTTTTATGCTTTGACATGGTTTTTTACTTTGCTAGGTTGCTTGTACTTCTGTGAAAAGTAATGAAGTACTGATCTTTGATATCGGTTATATCTCTTCTAAACCAGTTGACGTAAGTTTCTCTTTTGGTTTCGCTGTCATATATGATAAGTCTCTTTATTAGAGGTGAGAATTACCAATCTCCTCTGTGGATCAAATAATCGTAGATATGTCTATCCGATATAGTCACAATAGTTTTAGCATGCTAATCACACCAATATAAATAAAACTATTTGTTTATACAGACATCTACTAATATATTCAACATTTATTTACAAAGACCAGCTAGGGCAATGTTTAGTAGGAGTAGAAATTCAGGTATTTTCTATGGTGTTTATGAAGATTTGGAGAGAGAAAGATCAGCTTCAGGGACATGCAGAAAAACTAGAAGTTTTTAGGTGATAATTATTTTAGTTTGATTTGTTAAGCAACTTCTAAAAAGATTATGAGGTCCATGACCCCTTTGAATTGAATATTACACTTTATAATTGGTAACTGCTTCCAGTGCTGAATACCATAACCATACTGTAACACTACTTTTCCAACAGCACAAAATTTCTTCTACCCTCTGACATATCACCATTTCAGCATTTGGTAGTGTTATTGGGCAAAAAGTAGAGAGACTACCAATTTGGCAGTCTTCTATGTATTTATATTAGAATATTAAGTAGTGCAAATGACCAATAAACCTTTAAACTAAATACTTAACACTCCCCCTCAAGCTGGAGCATATATGTCATATGTACCTACTTGTTGCAAATATATCTTACTCTAGAACCAGGAGAAGATTTTGTAAACAAGTTTGTTAGTTGGTCCGTAGACGTCACTGACTGCATACTAATCACATTCCATATAAGTTTGTCTCGAACTAGGTGACAATCCACCTCAACTTGTTTTGTTCTTTCATGAAACACTGGATTTGAGGCTATATGGGGAGTTGCCTGATTATCACAAATTAAGAGTTGTAGGCTCTTATTGTTGAACCTAAGTTCTTCCATCAGATGTTTCAACCAAATCAATTCACAAGTAGTATTTGCTGTGGTTCAATACTCAGATTTAGCACTTGGTCTTGCAACCATTATCTGTTTCTTAGCCTTCCAAGACACTAAGTTACCTCCAAACTCACAATAACCAATGATAGAGATCTCCTATCATATGGAGATCCAACCCAGTCTGCATCAGTGTAACCTTTAATGTGAATATGACCATGGTTTTTAGAAGACATCTTAAGATATGAACAACATCCTAATAACTCATTCTTGAAGACTCTAAAAATTGACTATGAACACTCATTGCAAAAGAAATATTTGGTCTAATAATTGTCAAGTAATTCAACTTCCCAACCAATCTTCAGTAACAGCTCGAATCAGTTAACACATCACTTCGATTAGCTCATAATATACATAGGAGTTTCAATGGGGTCGTATCCTAACAATCTAGTTTCAGAAGGTAAGTCAAGTACATGCTTCCTTTGGGATAGTGAAATCCCCTCACAAGATTTAGCAACTTCTACACCTAAGAAAATATCGCAAATACCCTAAATTCTTGGTCTGAAATTTAGTTTGAGGATATGATTTCAATGCTCGTATCCTTTCACTATCATCACCAGTGAGGACTGTATCATACATATCGACAATCAATAAAATTTTAGCTGTTTTTGTTTGTTGATGGAAGACAGAATGGTTTACTCCACACCTTGTAAGGCCGAATTCAATAAGAACTTTACTGAACTTCCCAAGCATGCCTTAGGAGATTTTTTTACCCATACAAAGACTTCTTCGAATGACAAACTAGCTTTAACTCCCCCTAGTAATGAATGCAGGTAGTTGATCCATATAACCTTCCTCGTCAAGGTCACCATGTAGAAAGACATTTTTAATTTCCAATTGAAATAAAGGCCAACTAAAGTAGCTGCTAATGAGGCAAACAAATAAACAGAGGTAAGCTTCGCAACATGAGAAAATGTGTCAGAATAATCAACTCCACACACTTGAGCATAACCCTTAGCAACCAAATGAGCTTTTCATCTATCAATCGAGCCATTTGAATGCACTTTAACTGTATAAACCCATTTACAACCAACAATTGACTTACCAACAGGGAGTTTCACAAGTTCCCGAGTATCATTGGGCAACAAGGCATGCATCTCATCTTCCATGGCAGCTTGCCAATTCAGATGGGACAAAGCTTCAAAAGCAGATTTGGGAATAGATATAGAGGACAGTTAAGAGATAAAAGAGAAGTAGGAAGGTGACAGAGCTTGATACAATACAAAGTTGGAAATAGGATGAGCTGTACAAGAACGTTTACCTTTTTGAACAGCAATAGGAAGATCTAAATCAGTAGGAACAAAACTTGGAGAAAGCTCCGAGGATAAGGAATTTGTTGGAGTATTGGATTTAGTTGGTGGAATTGAATAAGGCTTTACTTCTGGATGGTGTTGCTTGCAAGTTAAGATGAGATAATTAACCAAAAGGACCTAAAGGACAACTTGAGTTTTGTGGAGTAGAAACAATAGGATTGGACTCAATAGGAATAGGCTGAGGAAGAGGGAAATTGGTTGTAAGATCTGCAAATTGATATATGCAGTACTTTCAAAGAAAGTAAAATCAGCATAAACAATAAATTTATTCAAAGCTAGACTATAACACCAATATCCTTTTTGAGAACGAGAATAACCCAGATTGAGGGTCCAATTTGTCCTTACCCAATGAAAGTTGATGAACAAATGACACACAACCAAGTATTCAAGGAGGTAAAGGGAAAGTTCTCGCTTGAGGAAAAAGCACAGAATAAGGAGACTGGCCATTGAAATTTGAAGAAAGCGTTCAATTAATCAAATAACATGCTTTAAGTACTCCATTACACCAAAAACATTTAGGAACATGCATTTGAAATAGAAAATGAGTAACCTCAATAAAATGGCTATTCTTTTCGGATTCACTCACTTATATGGCTTGGAACTTGGCTTTGAGCTAGCTTCATGGCTTAGGCAGCTTCTAGCCTTCTTCATGACTCATTCAAGGCATGAAATTCAGCTCACAACTTCCTCCTAAGCTCAGCAATTTGTTTCCTCTTTCCTTTATTTGCTCAAATTGCCTAAAATGAGACAATTATACCATTTAGGAGTATTTTTTAATGAAATTGCTAAGAACTAAGCAAAATTAAACCATAGAGCACTATGATAATTCTATAAAATGGAGAATTATTACTATTTTTTCATTCAGCAACCTTGTTTTGTTGTGAAGTGTAATTACAAGATAACTATTGACTTGTACCATGCTCATGCATAAAGGTATTGAAGGAAGTAAAGAAATACTCTAGGGTATATCATTGCAAAGAACTCAAATAGAGATATTAACTTTAGTCTTAATCTCAACACAAAAGGCACAAAAATTAAAAATAATTCAGAATGATCTTTCATTAGATAAAGCCATGTAACACAAGAATAATTGTAACACAATAATAATCATCTACAAAGGTAACAAAGTTGCATAATCCCAATTTGGAGGTTACATGACTTGTACCCCAAACATCTTAATGAACTAATGTAAAGGGATCTTGAGCTTGTTTATTGTCTGGGGGAGCAAATGAAACTCAATGATGCTTTCCCAACTGATACGACTCACACTTCAAAGATAATACATGACTAAGGCTAGGAATTATCGATTTCAACTTCTCCAAAGATGTGTGACCCAGACAATAATGAATCTCCAATGGTGACAATGACACTGAACAGGCAACAAGAAGTGGCAATGGATTGAAATAGTAAAGCTTATGTAGTTCACATCCTCTTCCAATCATCTTCCTTGTCTGCAAATCTTGGATAAATTGATTGAGGGCTTTGGATCAATAGTGAAAGATCCATAGATCAATGTTTTTGTTTGAAAAGGTAAAAAGGTTAGGGTTTGAGTATAAAAAATCTGATACCAATAATATGTGGCTCTAATACCATATGGTAGTCTCCTACATATTTATGTTAGAACTTTAAGTAACACAAATGACTAATATACTAAGGAAGCTTCAATTAGTTTTTGGTGTAGTCATATAATTTTCAAGTATGCAATAAACTCCTTCAAATAAATTATTACCGTCATTGGTTTTTATTCTTTTGTTCTAAAGTTAACTGTCAGGGGAATCTTACAGTTTGCTTATACATGATGATATCCTCATTTCTAATGAATCATGATAATTTTCTTCACTGTTAACTCAGGTGTTAAGAACAAGATGCAATCTCTCTGTTCTTGGTTCTGAAGTCTACAAGGGTCTTTGTGACATAGCTTTTATGACAACTGATGATTCAAGGTTGGTCAAAGGCTGAGAAAACTTACTAGCTGATATCCACATTGATAATTTTTCTAGACAACAAGTTTGAGGTGAAAGCTATTATTCAAGAGTGTTTTCTACTTTTCTTTGCTTGTATGCCATTGCTAAATTTTGACATGTAAGTATTTTTTTTATTTCTATAGATTGATTATTTCTTACATGAAGATCAAGATAACATAGTCTATTTCCCACTAGACTAGAAACAAAGAAAGCTATTATTGCAAATCAAATTTATTAGGCCATTCTAAATTATTCGGTACTCTTTATAATGTCCTTTTCAACACTAACCAAAAATCTAAAAAAGAAATCACCTGAAAAGTATTAGTATTGGAAGAGATGTGAGGAACAGCTAGTTATTGATCCTCTTTTTCATATTTTCAACTAGCATATAAATGTTAGGTATAGATACATGTTGGGAACCCTTTTCAGAAACTTGCTTAGCCATCTTTGCCATGGAAGAGAGTCAAGAGGCTTTGTTGGTGAGAAACAAGTTAGTTATTGACCACTTTGTTGGTTTATAAACTTGTTTATCTATCTTTGCTGTGACTTGCATCCTAATATATCTTTACAGTGCTCAGATCCATAATTGCATGGGGTTACAGATAATATAATGGGTGTCCTGACTGGCCAAGTAACAATTGGCCATGTAACAAACTGATTGATAATTCAGCGACATTGTGGTTTAACATCTTTGTTGAATCAGTTAGGCTTGGAATTACTATAATTCAAGAATTCAAGAAGGATTCAAACCAATTTTGTGTGCTCTAATGCCAAGTAAACTTATATGTTATTTCTTAAATTTATTCAGGTAGCTGTTATTTTTTCTTGACTCAATATTTAAACTTTTCTGATGATTTGGGAATATTCAATGCTGATAGTGCTTTTTCTTGACTCTGTTTTGTAAAAATTGTTAGACAGCGTAAAAAGGCTGTCATCTTGTCTACATTGCTAGTTATATATATTGGTTGGTGACATTGAGTTGAATTAATTAAATTATCATGAGGTTTATGTTCAGCTTCCAGAATTGCCTTTCTTTTCTGATGGTTTGTTGCTGTAGGGTAATTGCTTCTGACACGCATGGTGTAGTCAATATATGGGATAGAAGAAAGAGCCCTCTTCCTTGCCTCGAGCTTATAACTGGTTCCCATAACACCCTCAATAGTATCCAACCACATGTAGAAAATCAGGTAATAAATTGAAGACCTCTCTTATATTCATTACGAAGTTCACTTCTTTGAATCCATAGGAAAGATGTATTTGCCTATATTATCTTTCCTTTTTTTTTAAGAGATGAAGATGAGACTTATTTTGTGTTATATGTTATCGAATAACTCAGGCTTGGCCTAACAGTTGTTAACCCTCCTTAGGAGGGTTGAGGTCCAAGGTTAAAACCCCCTTGTACGTCCTCATATGTAGTATACCAAAGAATAAACACATGAAACTGGTAAGAGTAGAGTTTAGTTTGCTTATGGCTTAGAAATAACCTGTTCGAACTTGTATTATAGGTGCATTATAGTATTGAATTGAGGATTGGCTCTACTAATCAAGATTCGAGCATGATAGATTTGAACAAGGTTCAACTATGGGCTCCAAGATATTGTTAAATTTTTCTGCCAATTAGATTAATCTCTTGTCATAAATGCATCACTCGTCAAAATGTTAATTTTGTTAAATGATCAATAGATTCACAAATGAATCTTCTATGGGATGTATCTATGCATCTATAAAATACAATGAGGTCTAGCTAATCCCAAACTGACACACATTAGTCCCCAATACTCAAGTGTTGGCATTCTGTAAGGATATTCTTTACATTTGAGAAACAAATCTTGGGGATCAATGGGCATTAGGCAGAATGTCACTGCAGGTTGAGGCCGGATTCCCCCCTTACACCAGACACACACAGACACACACACTTGCCAAGCACACAGCCACCATCTACCCTGATGCATTGGTGTTCTTGCTGGATGGAAAGAAGAAAAGAAAAGGGACAAAAGACTGGGAAAAAATGGAGAGAACAGATAAAGTTTGAGGGTATAAGAAAAATTAAAAAAGAAACAGGAAAATTCTAACCATAATATTAGCATATAATTTTCGTTATAACAATAATAATATTATAAATAATTTTCATTTAATCAAGTAAAGTAATATTATTGTTATAATTTTTCATCCACTCTAAATTTTGCTGTTAATTTGGATGATTTAACATTTTGGTGATGATAGGTCATAATGAGGTGGATTAATTTTTTGACCATGCGGCACATACCATTATGAAAAATCATATTACTTTTTAATTAAATAACAATTAATATTTTTTTATTTGCTAAAGAACTTTTTTAATATTTTTATTTAAAAAGAAAGGTTTTTTGTGCTAATGTGTGCTGCGTTACCAAAAAAATTTAGGTTGGCATTCCACATTATCAACAATAAGTCATGTGGCCCAAATTAATGAAAAATTTTAACATTCTTGTCAATTGTACTTAACTTTAATAGAATTATAGAGATTAAATTCATTAAAATTAGGGTACAGGGATTAGAACTGTTGAATTGAAATAGTAGAGGAACCCAATTTAGACTTCGGTCTTTTATTTTTAAAGATCATCATTTTTAGTTTAAAACTTACAACATGGGTGTTTATAAAAATTAATGAAAATGTTTACCCATTTTAATAGAAAAAGAAAAAAAATGGCAGCTATAATGTTGGAAGGACACACTTCTAGTTTTGGTAAGAAATTTATGTTGTTTGGCATTCAGTTTAGTAAAGTTTATAGTAATTTTGCTTCTTTTAGTGCAGTGTTAGCTACAAATAACATGGTATTAGCAGCATAGAAGAATTAGTAAAGTTATAGAAAATGCAATCAATTGAAGGAATGTGCTGGTGGATTCATATTCTTTTGAATATGCTATTCTGTTTATTGTTACTAATGCATTCTTTTTAAGCTTTTGAATGATTCTTAATCTTGATAAATTCATTTGATGCAGACCATTTTTGGGGCTAGTAAGGATGGGAATATTTATATGTGGGATCTTCGTGGAGGAAGAACATCTGTTGCTTTTCAATGTCATAATGAGGTAAGACATTGAAGTTCTAACTTTTATCATAGGAATATACACCACCAGAACAGGAAGCTTTTGTAAGAAGGAACCATGTATAGAGTTACAGTTTAAATTAGTTAAGTCATTTACTCTTAAATAATAAATCCAGCCCCTGTGATAAATATTTCATTTAGATAAACCTAAATTTCAAAATATATATTTTGTGTGCCCTTGTAGTCTGGGAAAATGCAAGTTTGTAATTGTACTTTTAAACTTTAAAAGTTTTCTAAATCAATGTTCCCGCTTTTCTAAAGCTGTTAGATCTTTTACTTTTATGTCATGTACCTCAATGTATAATTCTTCCATAGAAGGAAAAACCAAATCTCTTATATTAGCATAATATGACAGAAAGAATAATGAATTCAGACTATTGAACAATTTTGGGACTTAATTGTAATAAACATGCATAATAAAATATCAATATTCAGTTTTTACTTATGTATTTACTTTAAGTAATAAACATAAATAATTCAGATACGTACGATCACCAAGATTTTTATATATGGGAGACCTGTTTGTAGTTCATCAGCAACCCCCTTAGGATGAAATTTTTGTTTGTACCTTGCTTTTGGTGTGTTGCATGGTGGCAAAAGTGTGCCAGACTGTTGCTGGCACTAACAACTCTGCCCAAAAAAACAGTTCCAAGGGTGCTGCAGCCATCCTAGCCACCTTTTTTCACTGTCAGTATCCAGTTATTAATGACTCATCTTTATACATTAGGTTAATATAGCTTGGGAAGTTGACAAAGTTGTATTCTAATGATGCTTGTAATGACATTTGTGATGTTTTCACTCATTCAGACAGGCCATCCGCCTCTGGTATCTTTGAAGTTAGCATCAATGCTGGCAAAGATTAGATCTTTAAAGGTATGCTGTGATGAATTTGGCCGCATTTTTTGCCTCACATTTGCTTCCGTTAGATTTTCTTGCCGAAGGGCTTTAGATGATTTACTGCCTGTGAAGGACCAATATTATTAATGCCCAATATCCTGATGTGTACCTGTTCACAAAAGGGCATTTTAATATCTTTAAAGGATTGTGATTGTCCTTATTTGGCATTACCAGAAATATCGGTAGTTATATACGTGAAACAAGTTCTTTATGTAAACACAATAAAATATGAAGGGTTCATAGGCTATGGAATATGAAGTACTGGGGAGTAAACTATCATGTTACACTAAAAACAGAGTCACCCTGGTTCCTTTCCGTAATCTGCTGTTAATGAATTGTTCCCTTTGTTTTTCAGGCACAATCAGATATTGTTCCAAAGGAAATACACTCCATTGATCTTGATCCTTCTTGTCCATATCAATTGGCATTCCATCTAGATGATGGTTGGTAGGTTGTGGAAAGAATTTTTTCCTATCTTAATAATTTATTGATTATCTTTGCATTTTCCTATCACATTTATTGACTGTGATCTGTTTATCAATGCTTAAGCAAAGAAAATAACATTTGGGTTAATTGCACATATGGTATCTGTAGTGATGATTTGGTACCTAAAGGAAAAAAATTGATATCTAAATACTCCAACTTTCATTCTGTTAAGTAAATTGCACACCTCTCACACTCTATTAGTCAATTAGGGAGGGGAAAGGGGCTCAGCTGGTGCTAATTTGGCCAGCCCTAGGCATATCAATGTTGATCTGTCTCGAGCCTACATCCCCTCCCCTTCTGTCTCTCTCTCTCTTCCTTTCCCCTCTTTCCTTTCTCTCCCTCATTTTCTCTCTCTTCCTGATTCTTTTTTCAATTTCTTTAATCTTCTAATTTCATAAACAAAAAAATTTTAGAAAAATTTAAAAAATGATGTGGCATTTTTGGACACATGGCAAATGATGTGATATTTATAGGAGAGTTGGTATGTTACCATTGGTTGTTTGAGAAAGTCATGTTTTCAGTAACAGTGTTAGTGAGGTGTGCAATTTGCATAATAGAATGAAAGTTGGAGTACTTAAGTGCAATTTTTTTTCTTAAGGTACGAAATGAAGAATTTTACTATAGTTTGGTTACCTAACTTTTAATTATGCATTTATAGCACTCATGATTCTTTTATCAGTTTGTAAGCATCCTGAAAACCAACGGCATGCATCTAAGTACCTATCTGTTAGTTTTGATCATGAATTCACTGATTGTGCACATAATTTGCCAAAGATTCCACCATCAAGAAACAAATGTCTGCTGTGGAGTGACTTCTGTATTAGGTTTTGAATCCCATGGAAGCATCAGTAGTTTCTTCAAGTCAATTTACAAGAACTGCACTTGGAAATCTAAATACGTTCAGGATTCATTTTGCGTTAACATTTTAATTAAAAATTTTAACTAAATATTATTGGGCCATGGACACAACCTTCTCTGTTGTGTATCTCATAATTAAAATGTTCATTTGTCAATAAGATCATTTGCAATGGATACCAAGAAGACTGGAAGCCCCAACTTTGATGTTCTCTCGTTTTCAATTCCTCATGTTATGCAGGTCAGGTGTTTTGGATATTTATAATTTAAGAGTTACACATGTTCATTGCCCTCCTCCAGCTTGGTTGTGAGTAAAGTTGAATACATTTACAATGTCCTCATATATTTATAGGAAGGTATTGGAAACTTGTGTTTGATAAGTGGACATTTACTTTTTCTTTTTTCTTTAATTTGAATTTGTTAGGAACGGAGCCAGCATATCAACTGATCTACTATACTTGAGAAAACCATCGTGGCTGCCAACATCTTCTGTAAGACTCTTTTTTTATCACTGGTTTTTCCTTATTCAAGTTCTTTTTTTTTTTTTTTTGGTGATATTACAAAAAGTGATCCAGTTTGCAGTTAACACTACGTGCAATTGGTTGCAAAACTCAGGATAATCATAGGCATGTGTGTCAAGGTCCATGAAGGGGAAATAAATTATTGTTCTTATTAAAGGAAGCCTAACTTCCGAGCATTGTCTGACAATCAGCTAAATCATCTTCATATAATGCTTTAAATTCTTTTTGACTCTATATAATGCTATACTTCCACACTTTTGACAACTTATTCTACGATTGTTGCCTTTCATACAGTTTCGGGGCATCCTGTACTGTTTTAGTTAACAATACCATTCAATGCTTAGCAGCATATGCATCACATAGCTTTTTCTGGGTTTTTTTAACAGTAAGGCTCAAATAGTTATACTCTCCCTCAGAGCCCAGTATTGTTTCTCATTTAAAAAAAAGGGTTATCTTACACTATTATTTGTCCAGTGCAGATTTATGTGGTAGGATCATCATCTGTCAGTGGTATTCATATTTTAGATTTCTATCCTGATACCAGCTCTCCCAGCCATGTGGACTACATGTAAGAGAGTCCTTACACTTTTTAACATTAGCCATAAGGTTCTCTGGAGGTTGAATTATTTTGTACGGACACATGGTTTATATTTGTTTGTTAGATTAAAGCGAGTCAAATTTTAGTATTGTTCTTGTCTGAGTAAGACTGAACCAAAACAAGCTATTCTGTTCATGAAGTCATAAATGTTTGCTTCTTTTTTTGGGTGCTCTCTTTGTTGTATTTAACGGAGTCTTATTTGATTTTAATTTCTCTTGTTAGACAAAATACTGTTAATTTCTAACCATGGCCCGGAGGGGGATGGGGGTTTGCAATCAGCCTCTATTTTCAGTGATACATTAGATATTTGATATGCTGCAGTAACTTTTATGTAGAATACACCACTCATGAGAGGGTGTGTTCATGCTAGGTTTTTATGCATGTATTAACAAATACACTCAAGTCCACTGGCATGCAAATACAATTTATGTGCAAAGTAATAACAAGTAATCTGACTGTTGCATATGTTGCTTTCTGGAGTTGATTTTCTTTTGCAAAATTTTGTTTCTCTATCTTTTGTTGTTCTAGAGACGATCCACAGAGTTTGCCTGAGATAAACCACAAAAGAAAGCAAAATATTTTTGTTCCGTTGTCTGAAGGTGTTACCACATGTGCAAGTCATCCCCTTAATGGTACCATCATAGCTGGGACAAAGGTTAGTGTTTTATTCTGATTCCTCTATTGTATTTATGATGATGGATATACCTTCTCTCAATTCACAGTAGCGCCGTTTCCTCCTATAAGTTACTAGTATGCTTTTTGAGAGAGGAAGGATCATTTAGTGGTTGCCAAATTTCCAAGCACAAGAACATGTCTCTGACCAGGAGCTTGTGTACATAAGCTCACTGGATAAAAAATAGATATGCCCACAAGTACATGGAAGGACAGCCTTTAGTAACTACAACAGCAAAGCCAGACTACTTTTGGTTTTAAAACTTTAAAAGAGAATAGACTTACGCTGATGTCCTAATTGGAGAGTAAGCTAGTACATGTAACTCTAAAGTAAAATTGCATCTTCTTTCCGTTAAGCAACTAAGCAAGCAAGAAGCACTATTCTTTCCACCATAAGTATTGATTTATACAAATCAAAATCATTATGATTATCATTTATTTTGATTTAAATCGTGCCATGAAACATTTACTAACAGAAAGTAGGCTGTCAGTCTGTCACTACCAGGACATTGATTGTTTAGATGTTGCATGTATATAAAACAATCTTTATAATACTATGATACTAAAGAGCCTGCAACCTTCAGTTGTTTCAGTTGGTTTCTGCAGCCTTTTACTGCATGCTTGGGATGGAATATAGTTGGCAACTTTTTTGTAGGGCAAAAGAAAAGACCTGTGAAATTAAGGAAAGGACTTTCACATGAAGTCTACTCAATGTAGTGACATAGTTTACGCCTTTTTTTGTCATATGGTGTATTGAAATCATTGTAGCCTTATGTAATCATTAACTTTAAATTTCAAAGTTCTCATTGACAGTCATCATTCCTTTTTTCCTGATTTTATCATAACATGCAAACTGAGTGTGGTTGAATGATTGGTTTCAGTATTCATCTTTGCTTGTCATTTCTCAACCACGCAAGTCATTCTGAGGTAGAAATTTGTGTAAGCGACAGGGAAGGCCCTCTGAAGTTATGAAACTAGTTACTTTTCCTACTGTTTAGTTGCAGCATACCAAAGCTGTCAGAAGGCGAAAGCTGGTAAATTAAAACTGTTAAATGGATGGATCTGAATTTGGGAGTACTTGGAACTCATAATCAACCTGTTTGAGTGAAGTGCATACCAATTTCATAGAAGTCTTGAGCTCAAGTGCAAGGAATGATTTGGTTGTACAGTAGTTTCTTGATGAACAGGTTTGTTTAAAAGCCAAGCTCTGATGTATTACGTAACAATACTCTTTATCAATCTTTTCCTGTTATTTGATTCGTATAATCGTATTGAAACTAAATGAACAGATTGCAAGTACCCTTGCTTTGTTGTAGGGTATATTACATTAACCAAACATTCCCGTGTTTACATTTTTTATAATTCCAAATGTGATTACACAACGTTCATTACAATTTCCGTACCCCAAAATGAAATGAGAAGCAGAAGCAAAAGTTTTGCATTCAAAACTCTCGAATTTTGTAAACATTTGCCAATCAAGAATTGCATCATATATCATACTGCACAATCTAGTTAAACACTATTATTTTAGATAGTGATTTTCATATCAACTTGTGAGATAATTGGTCCTTTTTTTTCATTGGGTTTCATGATTTTTTTCATTAAAAAATTTTCACAAGTTGAAAGTGGTGTGAACATGATGTAAACATTTTAAGATTAATTTTAGTACGTAGCTGATATGAGATTCATGATTTCTTTCTAAGGCCTTGACACCGAGATGTTCATGCTGAGGCCAACAGAGTTTAAGCTCCCCTTTTGCAGCGACCAACGAACGGCTTTGCACAATTCCAGCAACGGGCAAAGCCAGTAGTTAATGTATGTTGTTAGCTACTCAGGTTCCAGTGTTTTCTCAATCACCGATGACACATAGTAAAACAATAACTAGGGAATAAAGGAAGAAGAGGATACATCAGTTGTTCTTCAGAGTAGCCTGGATGGTGCTTCAAAGTTCACTCCAGAGCATGCTGCATAAACAGCTGCAGCAGCAATCAGGGATGGGGAATAGAAAACAACAGTGTCGTAATGGGCAAGACCAAGCTCAGCCAATAAAAACATCATGTTCTCCATCAACAATAATACGCAAATGAAGAAACAAAGAAGTGCTTCAACAAAACCATGAAATCAAAATCAATGTAATGTGCGACAATCAGGTAAAACAGAAGCCTTGATATCTCGAACAAGGAACATATATGTTGTAGGCCCTGTTCAATACCACTCTAACTTTCCCAAGATTGCTTTCTCCATTGCAAGTACCTGTTCCTCGGCATAAGCCCCTGCAAAAGGAAACTAGTAAGAAGAGAAAAAAAACACAACATATCATGCAATGAGGGGAATAAAGGAAGAGAGAACCTTGTAATTGGGCGGGTAATATTGGCAGGGGGGTTCCCTTCAATGAGTTGTAGTGTCAAGATTTCCAATATCAAGCAGAGCTCGCCGGGTTTTCCATCCTTTAGCTGCTTCATTCTTCACCTTGCCTCCCCCTGAAACAGTGACCCGATAACTTTAGTACAGTAGTCAAACCACCGATTGTAGAAACAACAATGAACCAAGAGAATGAGACCAAAGTAAAAAAAATCAATGAAGAGGAAACCAAATGTCTAAACTCTAAAGAAAATTACAAGATGAAAGTAAACTAGTTGTCATTCATAATCATCCTTGACTATTATATTTTTTTTGTTCTTCTAAACTCTAAAGCGTAATGGTCATATTTTATTGATCACCAAATTTATAATCATCTTTGTTCAAGGTTATCTAAGATGTAGATAAAGTGGCATAATTGTCCTTGTAAAACAACATAGAAGTCGAGACTACTATGCAAACTACATTGAGTAATGACCGTAAAAACAGGCCATCCAAGAAGGTGATTTAAACAATGACACCTTGATCCTAAACCAATTTCAGGCTCACATAATTACCCAACGAGTGCCACCAAAATAACTGTATAGCTGGATATTCAAGAAGATGAGTGCTCAGATGGCAGATTTACATCATGAAAAATTGACTCCTAAACCATATCTCTGCATGGCTTATGCTCCTAACATGCAAAAAGGTGCACATCAAACGACGTTTTTGGATATATAGCTGAATCATGAGCATCAATAACCTATGAATACAGCCACCGTGTTTAAGGTCGCGTTTCCGAATTGGCATTAACTGAAAACATGTTATATTATGGTCGCGTTTTTTGTCCTGCCTCGATAGTTAGAACTTGAATTTTCATATTGGAGGTCTCGAAGTTCAAATTTTGGAGAAGAGAGAGTGGGGTTCATGAAACGGCTACTCCCTATCTGTAGCTCAATTGACCCGTACCCAAAAGAAAATGTTACACTTATTTTTACCTTAAAATGCAATTATGATTTGCAGGAGGTTCAAATAAATGACCGACTTCTCATAAAATCAATGTTTGGCTTCAAAACATGGCTTGATAATTTGTAAATATGTTCAGACAGTTTTAAACCAAACTTTAAATAGCATGGGTAGGGAAATACCCAACCCTACTTCAAGTCAGATTGTAAGTCCAAAATATGTCATTCTCATCTAAATAAATGCCATTTTTAATAAACTATGTGAAGATCCACATAATTTGTATTTGTTTTATTCAAAAGTTTTATAATTTTACCCTATAAAACATATCACAAGAGGTATTTGGTTTATGAAATATTAGATTTTAAGGAAAAAATTGATATTAGGAAAGTATGATTCCTAGGGAAAAATGTTTATGATATCCCGTTATCAAATTTCTGAATTCAATTGAAGAGAATTTGAGTTTATTAAATCATATATTTTTATCATAATATTCTTGATAATATAACAAAACAACATTTTATTAAAAATATAATCGACAAATAATGTAATATTTGAGTGGACAATTATAAAAAAAATAAAATAGTGATCAATTACTGTGTTTAATTTTTAAAAAATGCAGTATTTAATTTACTTAAAAAATTTAAATTATACAATTATTACGTTTAAATGAAAACATGCAGTAATTGATTTTCTAAAAAAAAATAACAATTAACAATTATTGCATTATTTTTTTAAATAAGACAATAATTGATGATGTTAAAAATATTACAATAATAAATTACTGCATAATGAATAAATAAATGCTGTAATTAGTTATTTTAAAAAAAATTACGAAGAACTATTAATATTTTAAAATTTATTTTAAAATAAACGTAATAATTGATATTTTAAAAATATGATGATCTAAGAGGCCCACATTGTGGGATCAACACTATGCAAATTCATTGGTATACAGAGTAATAAAATGGTAATAAAAAAAAGGGGCAAGTACAATAACCTAAACATTTCAGAGTTTTGCAGCATGCGAATGGATGAAAGCTGAAGGTATCGTGATTCGATTATCATCAGCCCCTTGAAAAATGGTCATGAGGGATTTTTACTGAATGCAAGGCAAACAATAAAACAGAGGATCCTAGGCTGCTTTCTTTCTTAAAATGGTTATAAACTTGTGGCTCTTCAGTTGAAGGAACGGGCCTTAAGGGAAGCAAAACTGGTGATAGGCAGGCTAAGCAGCAAACTTATCTCTAAACTTTACCATGATGACTTGACAAAATATGGTTTTCTCACCCTTTACTTTCCATTTGTTTGTTCTAAGATGATCATATCAGTGATAATCGTCAATACACTTTACAAGTGTAAATCACAATCCGATGACAAAATGAAGTTTTTGAGATGGTAGAAAAGGTCCAATCAATTACTGCATTTTCTCAAATAAATGCAGTAAATATTATTAATTACTATATTTCTTTAAAAAAATGCAATAATAAAGTTTGAACAAAAGTCACACATTAAAAAATTATTGCATACTTTTAAAAAAATATAGTAATAGAAATATGAAATATGGAATATAAACCACACAAAGAACAATTACTGCATTTTGTTTGTTATAAACGCTGTAATTGACTCTAAAAAAAATTAATTTCATTGCTAGACTATACTTTTTAAAAGGATAATATAAAAAAAAAGTAATTTTTTATTTAGGTTAAATGTGAAACTTAAATAATTTTTCATTCAGAATCATAAAATATCATAGATAGAAAGAGGTGGATTTTAATTTCAAGACTTTTAGATACTGTTAAAAATTTGATATTTTCTCTAAAATTAGGATAACCTTGAATTAATGTGAGAATCAAATACCCAAAATCAAAATTTTAAAAAGAGATTTTTGGATTCTCCTGAACCAAACATCCCTTTAAGGTTATATGTTTAATCTTACACCATAACAAAAATATCTCTAACCATACAAGAAATGGGTATAAGACAAAAAAGAACCATCAAGAAACACAATTGGCAGGGTAAATTTATCATCGAAAGATTTAGAAGCTATAATTTTATGATTAGTGTGAGGTTTAACCTTCTATTCTAATGGATAAACTGGCAAACTGACAACCACAATCCAGTAAGAGAATAAACAAAGGCCATCAAAGATTAATCCAATCCAAGTGTCACGCCTTGGACGGGCGCACCAGGCACATCAGGTAGACCAGCAGGCGAGCCAGAGGCTGAGGCCCGCAGACCAGGCGTGCTGGCTGGTATCAGTGCGCAAAGCCTAGCAAACGAGCTCCAAACGCCCGCCCGACTTGCAGGCCAGCCCATGAGACCAAGGCCTGTCATACAAGCTGCCCGCACCGCATCCAGAAGGGCCCAAGGTGCTGGATACGTAAGGGAAGCTTCTGGAACCAGGCAGGATCAGCATCAGCATCCTGGCAGATTTGGTTGACCCTGAAAATTAGGAACCAGCATCTTGATTAATTGTAATCCCATGATTTTAGCCTTTATTCTAGGGATATGTCATTAAGTTGTAGCTGGAGCCTCAACTATAAATAGAGGGCTGCTCCACCCTCATTTGTACACCATCAAACACTTTTGTTTCAGTGAATACAAGAGCATTTTCCAGAATTCTGTCTTCCTGTCCTGTTTCTCTTTAACTTGCGTAATCAGCCCTTCCCATTGTTCTAGTGCCCGCACGCTTGTGTTTTAGGTTGACTTAGGCATAAAAGAAGAGATTCCAAGCCTAAGGCCGCACGGATTCTGAGTCTAAGGTCGGAGCCCGTGACAGTTGGTATCAGAGCAAGTTCGATTCTGCGTGTTTGTGTTGTGCAGGTTAGATCGTGATTGAGGAGATGGCATCCCAAAGCGACGTTGCTAGCCAACAACCAGAGGCCCAGGAGCATAGCCGGGGAAGAGGTAAGAAAAGCTGGTTCTAGAGATATCTGGTCTACCATGGACGGTAGGCTGGCCAAGGTGGAGGTGACCATAGGCGACATGGAGGAGAAGCTGGAGGAAGTAGAGACTCACATTGCATCGCTAGACTCCATGGGGGAGGAGATCCAAAGTGAGCTAGCAGCTGCTCTCAACAATGGCCTGGATGCGATCACCCGAAAGAATGAATCCTTGGAGGCGGAAGTGCTGACTTTGCGCGATGGCATGGAGGCCATGCGCCAGCGGATGGAGGAGCTTACCAGTGAGCTCGTTACTTGCAAGACTGCCATTGGGAATGGTATGTTTGCTGGAGTGTCCAGATCCAGATTGGATGTCCCCAAGCCTAAGGAGTTTAAGGGGACTAGGGCGGCTAAGGAAGTAGACAACTACCTTTGGGGTATGGAGCAGTACTTCCAGGCCATGGGCATGCAAGACGAGTCGATAAAGATAAGCACCGCTGCTATGTATCTCACTGATGTAGCCTTATTATGGTGGAGGCGCAGGTGTGATGATGTCAGGCGTGGGAACGCCAAGATTGGAACATGGGCAGAGTTCCAAAAAGAGTTCAGAGAACAATTTTACCCGGAGTATGCCGATGATGAGGCACGGGCAAAGTTGCGCAGGTTGAGCCAGCAAAGGAACATAAGAGAGTATGTTCAAAAATTCTCTGAACTGATGCTACAGATCTCGGATCTAGGCGAGAAAGACGTATTTTTTACTTTCATGGATGGGCTGAAGCCGTGGGTGAAGCATGAGCTACAAAGGAGAGGAGTTCATGACTTGGCTAAAGCCATGACTACTGCCGAGGCATTGATAGAGTTCAAGCCTCTGAACAAGTTCGAGTCTACCAAGCCCAAGGGTAAAGGCAGGGACAATAGGGACCGAAAGAAGCAGTCCAATGGGAAGGACCGTGACCGGGAGTCCAAGGTTGGAGACCGAGACCGTTCAACCAAGGATGGCGAGAGGAAGCCATCAGCAGGTAAGTGGAAAGCAAAGGGGGACCGAGAACCACTAGCATGCTACCTATATGAAGGGAGCCACATAGCGCGCAACTGCCCACAGAAGGGCAAGCTGGCTGCTGTAGACAAGGAGTCTGATGAGGAGCCAAAGTCAGGGGCAGCAAAGCTTGGGTCGCTGGTGCTCAATGCTGTCCAGAGTAAGGGGAGCCGCAAGCCAAAGGGCTTGATGTTTACGGATCTGAT